AAACGAACAAAACAAAGTTATAACATATCATATTAAATTGCAAACAAGAAAACTACTATCATACAAATGATAAAACATTATAGTAACAACTATAACATTAATAATATTAAAACTACAAACGAACGAATGTTAAAGAGATCCTGCAGCTCTCTTAGCAATCATAATTGAATTAACAATCAATTTATTACATCAAACATTATAATAATACATTGGACGAACACAACACTTACAGTGGACTTAATATATGAAGCAAACAAAACATTTACATTGCAGATGTAAATGATATTAGTAAAACAACAAACAAACACTTATCAAACATTATATTAGCCTGATCAACTAGTATAAGTTTGAAGGGGAGTGTTAGCATTTATTCCAGATAAATGTGTCATATGTCTTAGACATGTCTTCCAAGACATACATTCAAGACACACAATATTAGATAGCATATATAATACTTAATATAAGGACAATGAAGCTCATAGGACACATATAACAGTACACAACACATTACCAACTATACAGTCAACTTGTATCAACACCTACACACCATGAGTAGAGCCCACTGAACCCCTACTGGTGTGAACTACTCTAAGGGAATCATTGTGACCTCAAAACACTAACACCTTTATATGACTCATAAGAGAACTTGTGTTACTAATACCTGTGTTAATGCCTGTAGGAAGTAAAACATCCTGATTTAGAGTAGAAGGATGGAAAACCAGAGAAATTCACAGCAAAAGTAACTGTAAGACTAGTAGTAAACAGTGAGCAGAATGAGCTAGAAGATTTTTCACACATGTAGAGAGTCAAAAACAAAGTAAGTATTATGATAGAAATAAACCACCTGTATATAGTGTGTATTTAAATATTGTCACCTAACATGTGCTGAACACTTAAAAACACTATTTGCAAGCTCAAATGTTATAGCAATTTTACAGATGACAAGCATATAGTCAGAATATTTGAACTTGCTGAAAGAGGTAATTTATACAAGTGTGTCAAATTAAAACATAGTAAGTGTTTCTTAGAAGAAGAAACCAAAGATTATATAAGGTGTAGACACTGTGCCTTAGATGTCTATAACCTATTCAAGATGCACTGATTAGGCAGCTCTTTAAAGTGTTAGCACATCTTCATTCAAAATACATATTGTATACTAACATAAAGTGAGTTATATTTACTAGTACAGTTTATCATTTGTACATCTATTATTTATTGTATAGGCCAGATAACCTATTAATTAAGGTTACACTCTAGGAACATTACTTAAGTTCAAGCAAAATAGGGAATGTGGAGAGAGAAATACTGAAATTAGCTGATTTCAAAAGGTAAGTTAGTAGCTACTAGTAAAAAAAAGGGTAAGGATACATTTGTTTCTCAGTACAGTTAGAATTAGTAAATCTGGTGAGAGAAACATTAGAGGCACTCTGAAATGGATAGATCCAGAGCAGTTCAAGGGATTATATAACACAAAAGCAGATATCTAGTCTGCTAGGTAAGAAAGTCTTTACTGTCATTTGAAAAATTCTTAGTAAACAGTATCTGTCAGTACTGTTACATACAGTTTTTTATCCAGGCAAAATGTTTATAACTATATTAAGATGGCTCTACATATCAAAACTGGTAATAACATCTATCAAACCTCTGTGGCAATTACTATGACAGATATGAAGATAAAGAATATGATAGAGAAAGACCCTTACATAAGAAACATATCCAAACAAGGTGAGTTATATATACTTTGGACAGAATGGACATAAACTAAGATACTACTGTTAGCAAAAGACTTCCTTTAGTATTACCTTGAGATCTTTCCAGAAAACAGAATACCTGCACAAGAAGCATTATAGTACAAAGTAGGTTTTGATATAATTAGTTTAGTACTAATTGTTCACTCAAACAAATCTTATTGTTTTAATTATAGTAGCATTGGGAAAAAGTCAGATTTAATATAATGAATTACAGCCTATTTAAAGTAGTATAAACATTTTATATACATTATAATTCATATGTAAGGGTTAGAACACAATTATTATAATAAAATAAGGTATATTAATGTATATAAAGACTCTAAAAGTGTTACAAATGATTACAATTCATCAAATACATTATGATAACCTTACATTATAAGCTAAAGTATTATACTTAGATTATAACTTTGAAGACAGACTAAAATTCACCTTGTAAAAGATTTTATATTGTTTGTATAAGGCATTTAGATACTTGTAAAACTTATATTAGTGTGCTAAAAGCAATATAGACATGTCAGATTACTATCAACTGTATCATAAAGTAAATTAATGCTTTCCTTTTGCATCTAAATGTAATATTGGTTTTGTTTTACAGCTTTGCTACTATCACGAACTTCGATTACATAATCAATGTTGAAGATTGAGAGCATATAATAATGCACTTACAGCTGTTACTCTTTCTCTCCAACCTCTACCATCTCTCTAAGTCTAACCCTCTGTTCTAACACTATGTTTGTTACTTTAGTCCTTTGCTTACAAGTGTCCTCTAGCAGGTACTCTGAGTACAACAACACAGATAATAAACATTACTGTAACTTGTCTCTTCAATCTACTATTATAGTGTCTGTATAGAGTCTCAGATCCTATATTGTACTACTAAGCTAACCACACTGTCCTTCAATGTAAAGTAGTAAGTAGCCAGTACACTTTATAATAGCCTGTACAATAGTTGCTCCTCCCTCTCCTCCTAACCTTTTGTCTCCCTTCCATCCCTTCTACTCCTTGTCCTACTACTTGTATTGCCTCCCCTTCATTGTCCTCCTTTTTTTATGTTTGTCTCCCTTTTTGAATTCACATTCATACATCCACATTGTTGACTAGTGCTAAACAACTTCTCTAATAACTCCACACATTCATGTACTTCTTCCTACTCTATAGTACAAGTAACACTCAACAAGCACATGTAAGCATACTCACAACAATGTTTATGTACAACCACTCCTATAGTACCACCCTCTCCTTAACACTGTATGTGTTCTACTCCTTCATACAATCCTTGTTTAACATTACTCTTGACAGTTTTGCCTTATACACATTTACATTCCTTAGTACTGTCTATGACACTATTTCAAATAAGGTAAGTAGTGGCTATTACTTATCCCTCCTAAGCTGAGTCTGTTTACATCACCCACATCACCCTCTCCCTTCAAGCCAGAACATCCTAGAGATACACCTTTGTAATCACACACAATGCCTAAGTTCTCTACACCTCTAATTGTGAGACATAGTCAGAGTATGTAATGTGTACATACAGACATAGCTTTGCTTGCTACTCAAATCAGCTTGTTCAACACTCTGGATCCCAACCTCAGTACACTACTTACACTTGCTACACACTGTCACAGTGTGTCCACCTTTTCTCTCTTATTTTCACTTGCTAATCACTTTAAACTTGTCTTACAGACACAGTCTCAGCCTCTACAACCTGCTTGACCTTAATTCACACATGTATGCAATTCAACTTACAGGGACTGAGCAACAACCAAAGTGTAGTGATGAAGACTACATTAAACAGCCTGAGAACACATCCTTCCTCTTCTGTTACAGATGCTGTTAGGAAAAGAACAAGGCAAGAGGTAGCTCATCATACACTACAAGTACTGTGAGTGTCTCTTCATCAGTATCTACTACTGATTCTGACAACTACAGCAAATTCGACTTGCTCTCCACTAATAGTTCACTGTATGACTGCCTGTTCAGATATCTGCACACAACATACAGTAGTGTGTACAAAGTGGAGATGGCAGACTTTGGTGATTTTGAGATGGGTGATACACTGTGCTTGTAAGGACAGGTCAACTGTAGATACAGTCATAACTGTTGAGCCTCTCAATGCCCTTACTTTCAGGTGGTCTGTCTGGATCTGGTCAAGGGATAGGCCTGGCAATTAACACCCATAATGTACTTGTTCACTGCTCGAGTCTGGTCCAATCCCAACCTCTACCTACTCATATTTGCATCACAGTAGACACAGACACTCTCACTTGCTCTCTGTACAAATCTTGATACAGGCTGCACTATGTATGTGTTTTGGTTTATTTTCCTTAATTATTGTAGATAATGATGTATTGTACAAATATTTTAATATAATCAATTTTTGTTATTTTAATAATGAATGGATGTAAGGAAAAATTATTATTATTAAGGAATAATAACTATGTATAGTCTGTAAAACATTACAAATATATATTACCCTTTCAAAACTTGGTAATCCTTACAATAGATTTCAAAAAAGGGAGGTCCAATATTATGCATTTTATATGTTTAAAAGGGGTATTACCCTTATGTACTTTTATTACATTCATAAACCTTACAGTACCTTATACAATGTTGTACTACTTTATCAGAAATCAAGGTCTGATAATATGCAAATTACTTTTTTTACTTTTTTTTACTTTTTTCACACCATTATAATGTAATATATAACCTTTTAGACTTTTTCCCGATGGGTTAAAGGGGGCAGATTCGGACACAGAGACAAAAAGAAGCAGCCGTACTAGTAGTTACTCTAGTCATACGTATAGTTGCTGATGTCCGGTCCCGGACCGCTCGGACTTGGTCCGGACACAGGACTGGACTGATGGACCGGTCCTCTACAGTCCGGTCCTCATGGGTCCAGGAGAGGTCCGGTCCTGGGTCCATCATTTTGAGAAATTTCCTGGACCGATGGACTCGTCCGGACCCGGACTGGACTCTGGACCTGAATAACCTGAACTAATGTCTCAAATCTTGTTTCCCATATCTCTAGCTCACTATACTAAAACAGATCATACTCCTTTAAGGATCTTTGAATATTAGCTAGCACTTGCATAGTACATTTTACAAGTTTCTGGCAGTCCAAGCAAAGCAAAACTTTATTCCTGTTCTTTACTGTTCAATGTATGGCTTACTAAACTTGACTCTTCCTATCTGGTTATTGTCTCCCGAAATATTTATTCCCTTTATGTATATTCACTCCTCTCCCGTCCTATGCCAAAGACGCCGCAGTCCCAGCCGCCCTCCCCAGTCAAGCAGCCAGCCAATGCCCCTGCCCCTGACAAATTAGACAAGATGTCCGAAATCACTCTCAGAAAGAAGAACACTGACGCTCAGGCTGCTTTCCGTGCACGCCGTGCCAACTATATTGCCACCCTCGAAGAGACAGGTCCGTCTGCTGCTAAGTACCTAAATATTCATGTTCCGACAACTAAAGTGTCCGTAAATCGCAGTAACCAGCTTAGAGGCAGTTGTAGTCCAGCTTTCAGGACTCGTGTCGCGAGGCTCGCGCCGAATCCTTCAGAATTGCGTCAGGAAA